GGTTGGACTAGATGACCTCCTGAGGTCCCTTCCAACCCTGATATTCTATAATTCTAACCCCCATCCCACTGAACTTCAACCCCTACAATTGGAGCCCTCTGCAGCTCCCTGCCTCCAGACCCCCACCCCTTCACTCAGACCACCCTGCACTGAGCTCCCTACACTCAAACCACCACCCTAATGCACCACCCCTGCACCACCCTGAGCCCCCACATCCAGAGCTCCACACCACTGACCCTAACTAGCTGCACCAGACCCCCACCCCACCAAGCCCCACTCCACCAGCACTCCTCCCCCCGCTGAGACCCCCACACCCAGACCCCTCTGCTTCAACCACGTTCAACTGGAAGCCCCTGCAGAGTCCCATTGCCTCTGCACCTGGAACCCCCCAACGAGCCTCTGTGCATCCAGATTCCCCCAAACCTAGACCCCGCACTGAGCTGCCTGCACCCAGAATCCACTCACCTCACATCTGGAACCCCCCACACTGAGCTCCTCCACACTTGGATCCTGCCTGGTTGAGTCTGCCTGACCCACACTTGGGGCCCCAGGGTGTTTCTGGGGCAAGCCCAGGCCATGCACTGTGTCAGGGTTGGGTGCAGCCTCACTGCTGAGTCCGGGTCCTGTGGGTGAGGGGGCTGCAGGGTGATCTCCCGCCTTTATGCAGTCAGTGGCCCATGCTACCCACTGCCACGCTGGAGCCTCTGCATTTATTTATTGACAAATGACATTTGCAGAATTTTAAAATATTGTGCGCAGAATTTTAATTTTTTTTGGTACCGAATTTTTAAATTTTTTTGGCGCAGAATTTTTAATGTTTTAGTGCAGAATGCCCTCAGGAGTAGGCACTGAGGACATCAATACACGTAATTTGTATGATTTTGGATTTATATAATACTGAGGCCATCAATACACGTAGATTGTATGGTTTGGGATTTATATAAATATACGTGTATTGATGGCCTCAGTGACCTAAGCAGTCCCTTCCAGCCCTATCTGTAACATGTAGGGATATAGATAGTAACCCTAAACAATCTTTATCCCCTACTAACACATTAGACTATTTAAAATAAATCTAATTTACGTCACACATTTCACATAGGGTAGAACACAACATCAGAATGGTCAGTTTCACATTTGTCTGCAGTCATTTTCACTCTCTCAGTCTTATACACTAGCACAAAACTGCTGTGGTGGGCTTTCCAACACTGCAGGGGAATATTTACATTTTTAAAAAATCTTGCTTTTATAAAACTTTTAAAAAATATTTAATACTTTTCAATTCATATAAGTTTTTTCAATGTGGTTTGTTTTAATTTATTATTAAACAAGCACTTGTAATATAAAGATACTTTACAAACTAAAAGCTAGACATATTATGTGGTTTTCATCTAGACAGACTCTTTCCTGCATCCTCATATCCAAAGCATTACATTAAAAAAAGAGTGATGCTATTTTGGCCAGTGCTTTCAAATTATTTCAACTCAAGACTTTTAATAAAAGTCTGAATTATTAAAAACCTTCATCAATTCTTTTTTTCCCCTACTTTCAACAGGCAGCAGATTGCGCTCTCTTTAAAAAAAATTATATTGTAACACCATCTAAAGAAAATTTGAATCACTTAGAAAAAAAGCTATTGGTGGTTAAAGACTTGCCCATTAAAGCTACAAAACTGCATACTACCATAAGTAAATGCTTAAAATAAAAATCAATCAACTGATTTTAATTTTGCCATTAACATTCAAAAGGTAAAAAAATTCCAGTTCCATCTTTTTCTAAAAACTAGTGAAGAACAACATAAAGAGTGATAGCTCTTCTAGATTTCTTTTCTTCCCTATAATTACTCAATTATTCATTAAAGTACTCAAGAACCCCACTGCAATTTTTACACCAGAATTTCATATATGAGTTTGACTGTAAGGAGATGGTTACACAATGTCTACTATAAAGGCAATGTATTTCCAATATTTATGTCTGTAAAATATCCTATAGTGGAATTCATATTTCCACACAAGAAAGAAGCAGTTATTTAGTTCCAGACAACTTGATAACATCTCTTTCAACTATAGTTATAATTATCGTGTACGAACTTCCAAAGCAGAAGTTGTCAAGATTTAACATTAGCATTAATTTATGTCATAACTGACTGTTACTATAAAGATAATGGCAAAGCATCCATTTCTCCAAAGACAGCATGGATCGAAAGGGAAATTTCATCTTAATTGCCACTAATCTCCCCATTTTTAATTAAATTGATCAGTAATTTATTATCTTTCCCAGCCTTAGAAAGCTGTTATCATGAAGCTTCCAACAGATAGCATATCTGTACTTCCCTTCTCCAATGCTGTCGTTTTCAAAAAAAATTTAAGTGCTGCCGCATGTTTCCTCAAATTACTGTCCTGCCTCCTATACACACACTAGATTTAAAAAAAAAAAAAAACTTCACTGATCTCTCTATACTGGTTGTATAGCCTCGAATGCCCTATTGCTCCACAAAGATTTAGAAGAAACATCAAGAATCTTGTACTCCAGACTAATGGATACTATGGGCAAAATCCTAGCCCCACTGAAGCCTCTGAGAGTTTTGTCACTAATTAAAAGAGTTTTGAGAAAATGTAACGTGTGGTCTCAGAAAGCAGGAGTATAGAGTATTGAGTTCAGGTCACTTCCCACTGATCCCAGAGATCTCACCCATTCCATCAGAAGAAACTGTGGTAGGATAACAGACAAAGGAAGTAATTTCAGAGGAAAGATTAACCGATCCAGAACTTCCCAACTTTATGATACTAAAATTAAATAAAACTTATAACAACCAAAGAAGGACATAATGGGTTTAGTCACCTTGCCCCATGATAGTTTCTGATCTCTGTAACATACATCTTAGAACCAAATTATTCCTACAATTTTAATATAAAATAATGAACAAGCCATTTAAGCATAACGTTTTCAGGTTTATCAATTATAAATCTGATGAAATAAAATTATACTTGGACAGATATTGAACACTTAAATCGAAGATCAGAATTATCTTTTAGGCAACTTAAGGAAGTTTTTCTAGGACTGTAAATAATATTCCAATTAATCATTTCATTTTAGTAACAACTTTCACAATTAATACGGTCTTCTGACATTTACAAAAATATGATTACGTATTCTGGACACCTCAAACATAATCTGCTGTAAGACATTCAGGACAATGAAGAAACTTCAACTCTGTCATTCAAAGTTGCTTCTTTCCTCTCTGTGATCCAAAATCCATTGGAACCAATAGATGTCTTTCTACTGATTTCAATGGGGTTTGAATCAAACCCCAGGTAATAAAGATCACATTACATTTTTTGAAAAACAGCAGAATAAATTTCAAGTGTCTTAGCCAATATATCCATTTTTATTGAAAGAATGATTGTATTACTAAAAAGATTGGGTAAAGCTACTGCTGAGTATATAACGGTATTTGAACATAGTCACTGCACTACCAACATCAAAATCATAATTGTAAAGTATTTGGGAATACTTTGAGTGTGAAATGCAGTATGAATAATATTTTAGCACTTTGCGTTTTACTTTATAATACATAACTTCATGAAAAAGCAAATGCATACATTTCCTGTGCATTAATAATAAACAAAATGCACACAAAATCTATGAGAACCAGTGGTAAACAAGCAAAATATTACATCAGTTGCATAAACCTCAGAGAGCTTTACATCACAGTCTCATGATAAATAATTCTCTTTACATATAATACTTTCTGAATACTTTTGCATACAATTGTTTATTATTATGGGCATCTATTTATTGTATATGATCAAGGTTTTTGGTTTAAAATGAGGGATAATCAGTATGGTCTATCTTAACAGATTAAGACAGTAAATCCCCATTTCACATAAATTTATACTGTAAGGAAGAACAACAGAAAAGAAAACAAATATTATACAAGAGTATAAATATTTTTTTAAAATTTTCAAAACTTTCCAAGAGGAGTGAGTTATGCAACATACCTTAACAAGTTTCAAAAGGTGATAAAGATCTTCGACCTCATCTCCTTCACACTTGGTATACACTCTTCCAGTGTCCACACTGGTACCCTTTATGGTGTGACGATAGAGAGGCAAATCCATTGCTTCAGCATACAGGTCTATGGCATGATGTCCTACTGTCTGATACATGTAGCTGTCCAGCTCATCTGTCCCTTCTGCCACAATTAAATAGAGACAAACATGACTCTAAGTACACCATTCAGCATTTATAGAAAATCATAATATTTTAAAAGCACCAAGAGTACCTAAATCTGACTATTCCTTAGTTCATTGACACACACATCTGTGATGGCATCTCTACAAACATGGAATTAAAAAAAATGGATTTCTCCCCTCTTATAACAATGTGTCTCATGCAACTGCCTACTTCTCAATGGAGGTGTCCACTTCACTTCTCCCCTACCATTTCCAGTGCTTCCTCCACAAATCCCCCACTACGGATCCAACCCAGAACCAAGTGAAGCCAATGGTAATTTTGCTTTGCTATGCAAGAGGAGCACAACCCCAGAGGCACAGACCAATAGTTTTTACCTGTGTTTCAGCATACTTGGTGCAATATACATAGAACACACTGCAGCACTTACTCTGGTGGTTAGAAATAGGCTGTCAAAACTTCCTGAAACTTAGCCATTAATACATTTAATACTGACAACATGATACTCACAGCATGTTATTTCAGTATAAATGGAACAATAGAGGATTACGGCAGTAATTTTATATTGTTTAATACACTGTAAAGAAAGGGAAATCTTTGTTGTTGCATCCAGGACTTTTTAATCTCCTTTCCTTTTAAAAACTTAGGATAGAACTCACTAAACTTCTTGCTGTTACTGCTTTAATTAAGAGACAAATTTCACTAAACATTCTTACCGACTGGTTGGCAGCTAATCAATAACAAAGAAGGTAGCTCATGTAGATTGTAATAATTAAACCGCAAACCTTGCAATTCACATTTTACGTATCTCAGGAGTTATCCAACAATTGTGATCTTTATTGATAATTTTTCAACTGATCAATAATAAAAAAACACTTAATTATTGCTCAAAGCTACAATTCACTGGTAAAATTTGATAGAGTTCACTTTATTTTAAGACCACCCTGAGTAGTCCTGGAACTTCCCCTAACTTCGGCCCTGCTCTGTGAGGGCAGGCTTCTGAGCCCACATGGAATAGCTTGAAAGGAGAGGTCCCTGTATCACGGAAACAAGCCGTTAAACAAGTTGTGATGTAACCATAATATGCTAAAACTGATCGTTATAAATAAGTGTACTTGACTTTACTATAGTGTGTAACGATTTTTAGAATGGACATGGTGACTTCCAATAGTAAGAGAAGCAGGTATTTGATCAAAATGGTCTAGCGGGTTCTGTAATCTTAACAAATTAACCAGGACCGGAGAAGTTGATTTTACAAGAAAAACAGAGTATTTTTAAATTTATATAAAATATGATGCCTGACAAGAACAGACAGGGTCCCTTTTAAGCTGCCACTTAGTTCTGAATGTGCAGTTACTTTATTACTTGAGGGTCTCCAGGCAACAGTGGTACAAGATAAAATAAAATGAATGGGATAGGCCCTACTGCTGCCTGGGGTACCTCAATTAACTTTCCATTGCATTTCCTACCACATACACGTAAAGAGGCCATTTTATGATTTGAATGACAACATTCTACATTTTTGATGTGGCTACATTAGTTTTACAACAAACATATTTCAATAAGATTCGAGAGGTTTTGTCCTGAGTACCAAAGGAATAAATTGCCCCAACCTACTGATTTTATATTCACCTACTCTACCAATGAGTCACACATGAACTCCTCATCCCAGCAGGCACACCTCCTTCTCTGCTTCCCTCACAAACCTCCACAGTTCAGATGGCGAAGGTGACACCCTTTTCACTTGTGGGGCCTCTTTCCCCTCCCACTGGTACAAAAGTCACCTCCTTTTCAAATCTCACCTTGAAACCTTCCTGTTCATCTTAATTTAAGATTGATGCTAAGGCTCACTCACTTTTCACTACCTTCATTACTGTACCCATGCATTCTCCCCTTACTACAGTACAAGAAAGTATTTATGCATTTTCCTCCTTTTAAACTACAGAATCCTTTCTTTTACCATTTTTCATTTTCTTGTATTGTTTTCTCTTGTTTGCTGCTTTACAAGTGGCTTTAACAAATTCTCTAAATTGTCTCTCCCCTTTTTCACCTTTCTCTGTAAAGATGTCCTAGGATACCTGCCATATGTACAAAAAAATAGCAGGGTTTAATTCAGAGACAGCTGTGCCTCAGCTGTTTCCTATTTCGGAAAGTTTCTTACGAGCAATGACAACAAGGAGTCTGGTGGCACCTTAAAGACTAACAGATTTATTTGGGCATAAGCTTTCATGGGCATATGCATCTTCTTGCATCTGAAGAAGTGAGGTTTTTACCCACAAAAGCTTATGGCCAAAAAAATCTGTTAGTCTTTAAGATGCCACCAGACTCCTTGTTGTTTTTGTAGATACAGACTAACACGGCTACCCCCTGATACTTACAAACAATGAGGCATTCTTACCTGTGTTTTCAGCAGGTCTTAAGTTGGCTAGAGCAACAATCTGATGCCCAGCAGCAACACACTGCATCATATTGTAACAGCTGTCCTTTCCACCACTGGAATTAAAAAAAAAATGAAATTATCAGACAATTAAACCAGGTCACTACTAGGCACTGTCGCCCTTTTTTAACTTTTACCTGATTACTTCAAAATTACAACGCAGGGCCACGGAATAAAGTTTTCAAATAAGAAGTATTAAAGAGAATTATAACAGTAACAAACGTCTAAGACTGTACCATACAAAATCTGTATAAGAAAAGAAAGTATTTATAAAATGCTGAAGAGTTCAGTTAGATCTAAAATCCATACGGTTTATGTGAAATTCCTAATTTGATGGCAGAGAAAGAAAAACTTATATTGTATGTAAGCTCTTTGGAGAAGAGGCTGTCTTTTGCTCAAAGGATTAGTGATGGATCACAGAATGTTTCCTCTCTAAAGTACTGATTTTTAAAAGCAGCAGTGACAACCTGGCTTCTGGTTGTGCGCCTAGATGTAACTGCGGACAAAATTAATTACAGGTGTATTTTAAAGCAACTGGCACAACAGGTTCCTGTTGTTCATCTAGGTGCTGATGTAATATAATATTTACTACAAATAATAAAGTGCAAAATAGATTTGATTTTGAAATTAATAACCCAACATTCAAAAGCTAAAAGAATACTCCACCTCTGTCAACATGGCAATGGCTGAATCCTGTTCCCATTGAATGTAATGGCAAAACTCCTATTTCAGTTACACATAATCAAGTCTTAAATAAATGTCAAGTAATAATAATAAAACAAAAACTATCTGATCTATAGAATACTATACTTCAAACGTCCATCTTCAAATTCATAGACACGGCACCACTACCAGAGGGGAGAGTCTATGCTTTACCTCTCTAAGAGCCAAAGCACAGAACTCACAGCCCCAAAGGGGGGAGGGAGGCAGTGGGGTATATACAGTGGGGTGAGAAGAGGGGGTGGGGCAAATTTGGGATGTGCAAGGCTGCAGCGGCCAGAGAAAGAGGCGACTTTCCCCAGCTCCAGGGCTGAGGCTGCTGGGGAGAGATGGCCCTCCTTCCCAGCCCCAGCTCAGGAGCTGCTGTGGCGGGGGAGAGGCATATCCATCACATTAGAAAGGTAAGACTACTGATATTAAAATATGAGTTGTGTACTTTTATTTGTAGAACAAAGAAAACGTTAATTATTATTACGTTTTTATTATATAGTACTTTTATCCAAAGCATTTACAACAGTTAGCTAATGGTACAAATAACATTTGGAAAGATCATTAAGTGGTCTGCCGAGACCCTCAGCAATTTTCAAGTGGTCCATGGGAAAAAAAGTTTGAGAACCACTGGTCTAGATAATACTAAGTCCTGCCTGGAGTTCAGGGGACTGGACTAGAAGACCTCTCGAAGTCCCTTCCAGTCCTATGATTCCATGATCAATTACTCTCTCTCATTTCATTGCTGTTAAAATTTAACATGAATTTGTTAATGAACAGGTTTTCAGCAAGTTTCTAGTTTGATGCTCAATCACTTTTCAAAATAACCATGACATCAAATTTCTTCTAAACAGCCAACAGACAATGTAATTTAAAGCCCTATCTCTATTATTTTGATAGAACATGCTTGGCATAGTTAACTTAGTTACGGTTCATTTAGTTACCAATGAGACTGGAAAAAAGACTGGATGGATCAAGAAACAGTAATGGGACAGAGCATCTTACCCTTATAGAGACTTCTTTCTCAAAATTAAGGCCCTCAACTTAGCCCCGATTTTGTCCCTAAATATAACTACAGCCAAAAACAATTCTACATGAACTGTGTAGCTTTTACATATCCAATGACACAATTTATGAGTATAATCAGGAAGCTACATATCTAAGCACTATAAAATGTACCCACAATTATTTGTACCAGCAAAATTGCAGGTGCAAACTCAGAAACTGAAAGTCACCAGTCTTGATATTGCCCTTGCTAGCATTCTCAAGAGAAGGACCATGAAATTAATAGAGATGGTAACTAAATTACACTCAGACCTCAGAGGTACCACAGAAACAGGGTTGAGGCATGTTGCTGGGACAAATCTAAAGAAAACTTGTGTTGCTACTGTTTGTATTGTATCTGTGACATATACTGGGAAATCCAGTGTTGGCTTCCACAATCTGGTCTGTTTTATGAGAAACAATTTCATTCAAATTTTTCTTTTAAACAACAAAATAAAGTACATTGGCTAATTTACCAAAGTTCTTAAATATTATCACACCATTCCAGTATTAAAATAAAAATGCTCAAAAATAAAATATCTGCTAATTTCAAAAATTGCTTGAAAAGAACAAGATAGATTTTAAAAAGAAGGATGTACTTTGACATGATTTTAGGCGTAGGGTCCCAGTTTGTTGTTTATGGACCACTTGCTGATGGTCTGTATAGTGCTGGACGGTTACCTGGAGCTGGCTCTCCACATTTCCAGAGAAGAGAAAAATAACAGATGAAAGGGGTATGGGGGGGTGAAATGAAGAGCCAAAATAGAAAGTGCAATAAACTTATTTCCAAGAGGACAAAACATCTCAAAGACAGCAAAATTGTACATAAAAGTCCTTTCTTAATATCACTTCTATACAACAGCAATTTTTGTAGCTGCCACTGACGTGAAAACAATCACAAATGGGAGGGAAAACAGTCTGTGCAATCATGAATGAGAGGACATGATTCTCTCTCTCCGAACAATACTCAGGCCTCCACTGATACTCAATATTGATAGCTGGAGAGAGCCCCACAGAGTCAACAGAAACACCAAATAATCATGAATTGGGGTCCCAGCATTACACTGTTGGGATTTTTTTGTATGCCACTGCATGATGATAATCACATCAGGCCAGAACTCCATGATAGTTCTGTGACTCTTAGGGACTCCATTTGTCAAAATATTTCCTGTCTCCTTCCATTGCTTTCTAGCCTCTGAGAGAGAAAGAAGTGTTTTTCATCTCTCTCTCTTTCTTTGTCCTACTAGCTGATGGAACACGGTCAGAGTTTTTTTATTTTCTTTCCTTCTCTTCCTCTCCTTTACACCCTAAATTCCTGGGAGAGATAGGATTACTACTACATCTGTTTTTTCAATGCTACCCACAAAGCTTCAAAGGGGAGAGCCATCAAATCCAGGGATTTCACGAAGAGAGGCCCCCCTCAAAAAGCTGTATGTGGCTCTAGAGCAGTGATACTCAGACATCAGTGGTTCGGGAACCAAATTAGCTATTAAAGTTACCCAAAAGAGCCACAATAGTGTGAATTCATTGTTTCATTTACTACTGTACTAAATACTCATATTTAAATAGTATGACAGGGAAAATATTTAGTTTTTTTTATATACACACATACACATATTATATACATCGCTACCTCGATATAACGCAACCCGATATAACACGACTTCAGATATAACGCAGTAAAGCAGTGCTCCAGGGGGGGCGGGGCTGCGCACTCCGGTGGATCAAAGCAAGTTCAATATAACACGGTTTCACCTATAACACGGTAAGATTTTTTGGCTCCAGAGGACAGCGTTATATTAAGGTAGAGGTATATATATATATATATAATTCTCACAGTAAACAAGTTCATAACTTAGTACAAGTTGATAACTTAATTGCTTAATAAGTAGCAAAAGCATCCTGATTGGTTAATAATTAAATCACAGTGTTTTAATATCATGTGCTGCAAAGAGCTGAGGGAAACACATTAAAGAGCCATTTGCAGCTTGTGAGCCTCAGTCTGAGTATCACTGCTCTAGAGCCACAGTTTGAGATTTGAGTATCATTGAGATATGGAAAATAATAGGAGGCCAGAAATGGTAGTCAGATGATCTGAGTTCCTGGAGCAAGACAGATTTCTGGTTGCGGCATTCTGGGTACCCTGACATTTAGACTTTTGGGAATGTAATAAAAGAAGGAACTGCAATAGATATAGAGGGTCCTGTGGCACCTTTAAGACTAACAGAAGTATTGGGAGCATAAGCTTTCGTAGGTAAGAACCTCACTTCTTCAGATTCATAAGCTTTCATGGGTAAGAACCTCACTTCTTCAGATTCATCTGAAGAAGTGAGGTTCTTACCCACGAAAGCTTATGAATCTGAAGAAGTGAGGTTCTTACCTA